CAGTTTGACTTCTCAGGCTCTGATACCACTTGTAACGCCCCGACCGCCCCTACCGGCGAGCCACCCATCTCTACATCTGACTCGTGGGCCCTGCACCTATCGATGGCCGGTGCATTATTTTTCTCGGAGCCCAACCGACTTATTTACTGACCCTGCAATCACCAGATGATCTTTTCCTGTGTTTTGGCCTCACTCATACGGTTTTAGGAATTACTTCCCGAAAGCTCACCCATCATAATCTTACTCTAGCTTAAGCATGCTTAACTCTAAAATTTTTTCAGACCACTAACCGAAAAGATAAATATATTTTGATGACATATATAGCCAAATCAATTCATTTAAACTTATTCTAATGGATTAGGCCAAATAACATTACAATTACAAATTAATGTTATAGCACATTTGGATTACTAGTCATCAAATATATATAACTGAAATTTACGTACTTGAAGATGTTTATCATGGTAGTCTATTCTCTTTGTGTCATTTAAAATTTGCTAACGTGGAATTGACTCAACGTCGTAGTCATCAATTCCTGCAATATATATTTTTGGCTATTTAGTTAAACTAATTAAATAACGATATATTATATAATTAGTAAGATTCTCGTGATTAAATCAAAACGCTCATTACCATTTTCTGCTATATAATTTAAATCGTTGGGCTGTTATATTTATTTTTAATATAATTTAGAATCTTTCGTATGCCTTCAGGATATGAGTAGAGAGTTTTTGTTGCATAATTAAGCAAATTAGTTTAATGAGTACACTGAGAATGTAACTAGGGCTTGTATGATGAATGCTCGTAGCCTGAGAGATTTTAATACATATGGAAGGGCAGAGCCGTGCCTATGTTGTAGAAAAAAAAACTTTCGTTTCGTTTAGGGCAGCAATTTTTTGTTATCATTGTAAACGCATCAAAAAATTTCAAAAAAAATATACTCCATCTTTATTAGTATTAGTTATATTGTATTAATATTAATTATCAAATAATAAAATAGTTTTTCATGTATGAGCATAGCCATATGGGCTTACATACTTAATGTTTTTAATCTGTAAGTAAGTTATATATGAGTTTAGAAGTTTACAATATCTTTAAGTAACTAAATTAAAAAAATAGAAACAATCATTAACATTTAATAATTTGGATAGAAAAATAATGTAGGATTTTAATAGAAACAATTTCTAATATTAAAAATTTATAATAAGAAAATAATTTAGGTTATATAACCTTTTTTCTTTCCATTTAACTAATGATTTAATTGCGTTAATTATTAAAATTTTAATATTTCAATAATAATTAATTACAGTTAAAATGCAATTTTTACTTTTTGATTATTTTATTATGTAGTTAAATATCATAAAAATATTTGTATATAAAGATATTTTTTCAAAAATTGTTTATAGTATCCGTCAGAATTGTCACGGTTCTGTGGAAGCGGTTATATAGAGAGATGGGCATACACGTGATGATAAAACGTGGTAATAGTCTTTGACTCTTTATCAGTAGGCTTTCATTGACTTATATTTATATTTATTAATTGAATAATACCCATGCCAAAAGGAGTAGATCTACAACTATTGTTTGGTAGATGACTCTCGGTCGTTAATACTAATCTATATTGTTTTGTTGATTAGGTACGATGAAGTCTATTATTCTAATTAATGTAACTGTTGGGCACAATTTCGTTTGTAATTTGTTACTTAAGTGTTATATTTTTTTAAAATAAAATTTTATTGAATTATATTTTACTAGGTATATAATGTGCACAGATGATGTCAAAGTTTTTTTTTTCTTTTAATTCACATGATCAATATGATTTAACAAATAGAAAGTTGGCGAAACAATAAATAAATTAATTTAGTACACCTTTTATTTTTAACGACATATTTTAATATTTTAGATTTTATAAAAAAAATACTAATTGAGAATTGATTTGATAAAAATAATATTTTAACATCTGCTAGAAAATAAAGCTAGTATACAATCAAATCAAAACATGTCTTTATATATAACTAGTTGGTCATCCGCGCTACGCGCGGCTATGTGATTCATGTTTATATATTTTTGTATTAATTTGTAGTATCGTATATTCTTGAGAATTTTAAGATGGATTTCTATTTCTCACATGTATCTCTCTCGAATTTTCCATCTCTTTCAAATTTATAGTTTGTGATCCGCACAACACATGGATTTGATTATCATTTTATATATTTTTTATATTATATTTATTGTATCATATAGTTTTGACATTTTATGATTGTTTATTTTTTTCAATGTACCCATCTTGAATTTCTTGTCTAATCTATTATCAATTGAAGATTATTTGGTTTATTCAAATTGATAAGAAAAAGAACATATATGATATTAGATATCCAAATTATCTATTTAATAATTAAAAAAATTAAAATTATATAGTTTTTAAATATTTCCTCGACTTTTCAGAATTTTCAAAAAATATTTTTTGAAGTTGACTTTCATCCAAATTATTGAGAATTTGTGAATAGATTTTAGATAAAGCAATTTCTTGAACCCATCTCGTTACCCGAATTTCCTGTTCTATTTTTATTAGATTTTCTTTGGAAATTGTTATCCGTCTTTCTAATTACCAATTCCCATCACACACTCTTAAATTTCCGCTTTTAATCTTCAAATACTCAAAGCTAATATATATTATTATTATTTTTTATATTTTGTTTATTTTTTATTTTCTCACAACACAATATATTTTTTTTTTGTTTGCTATTTTTTATATTGAAATGTTGATATCAATTTTTATTATTTTCCATCTTTCTAATTACCAATTTTTGTTACACACTCGTAAATTTGTGTCCTGAATCTTGAAATACTCAGATCTAATGTATATCATTATTCTTTTATAGTATTTTGTTGATCTTTTATTTTCTGACAACATATTATAATTGTTTTGTTATGTTTACTATTTTTTATATTGAATGTTAATATTAATTTTTATTATTTTCTGTATTTCTAATTATCAATTCCTGTCATACAATCGTAAATATCTGTCTTGAATCATTAAATACTCAGAGTTAATGTATATTATTATTTTATGGTTTTGTTATTTTGTTGATTTATATTTTCTGACAACGCATTATAATTGTCTTTTTATGTTTGTTAATTTTTATATCAAATTTTAAGGTTATTTTTATTGTTTTCCGTCTTTCTAATTACCAATTCGCATCACACATTCGTAAATTTCTGCCTTAAATCTTAAAATATTCAAAGCTAATGTGTATAATTATTTTTTGGTTTTATTTTATTTTTCGACAACATATTATAATTTTTTTTTTAGTTTTTCTATTTTTTATATTAAATGTTAGTGTTATTTTGTGTTTTAAAAAATTTAAACTATAAAAAATTAATGATGTAGTTGCTGATGTGGCGGAAGGAGAAGTGAAAAAAGGTAACTTTATATATATAGATTATAACTAATTTGGATATGTTGACAAAAAGAAATTAACTAATTTGGATATTAATTTTCATTTTTTAATGCTGTGTATCTATTAATTAATACCTTATACAAAATAAATATTACTTAATATAATCAATCTGAATGAAACTGTTTTTGTAAATATGGTTTCATTACAACACTTCAATAATTTCTTTTTTTGTTTTCCATTAGTATATATGGAATATTCACAGTTCAACTAACAAATATTTTTAGTATACATCTCTATACCTATAAAACACAAGTCAGTTGGTAATTCTGGGTCTGACATCTGTCATTTTATTTATTTTTTAAAAATTATTTTGAATTTTCTAATTTAAAATTTCTTTAATCAGTTATGAGTTTTTATCATTTCATTTTTTTTTCTGATCTCACGATCCACTAATTTGAATTCATTAAGTAGTGTGCAATCAAATTTTGATAACTGTCATTTAAATAGAATAAAAAATCGTTTAAAGATTTTAAATAAAAATAAAAATTTTGTTTTCACCATTATCTCTTTAAACAGTTAAACTACACGATCATCTCTTTAACCACTCAAAAAAAAAAATTGCTTTCTAACTTCTTATCAAAATGGTAGAGACAACAGAAGTTATAGATATACTTTTTAGTCAATGTTATCATCATCATGTTCAGATCGTTGGAATAACTTCTCCACATGGAGAGTTTGTGACCGTGTTCATCAACTTCTCTCTTCTTCCTAAAGCCGAAGTGTTCTCCTCTTAATTATTGATTTCTCTTTTATACTTAAACTTGCTTAAGAAGTTTTCTATTTTTGTTTTTAAACATTTTGTTAGCTTAATTGTGATGTTTCAGGCGTTAAATATGAATCGCAATAACGTTCATCAGCCTCACCACATTGGAAGACAGAATTAACGGTATTTGGGTCATATGGTATTTAAATCTATTTGATTTTTGGATAGTTAATAGTAAAAATAAATTATTTTATTAAGAAACCTCCATTATGATGGCTTCGCAGGGTCCGTAAAGAGGAACCAATTTGATCAAGTAGAAGATTAAGTTATGAGTTTAAAAACTTGTAAAGACAATCACTTTCTATGATTGTTTCTATTATGTAATAACAAAGTGTTCATCTTGTGATTGTACGATGCGAGGAGTGGTTGTAAGAGTCTGGAAATGTCGAAAGAAGAAGCTTCTAAAACAGAAAATGTCGAAAGAAATTGCATTTTTATTCTTCCCACGAAAACCTTTCAGCCAAGGTCCTCCTCAATAGCCTCGTCAGTAATTCAGTGTGTATGTAAAACAAGTTTGGTAAATAAGTGTTTCAATGTTCATCTCCAAAACTATTTTATATCTGTAATTTATTAGTTATATATAACTAAAATTTAGTTTTATTTATAGGTAAAATTAAATTTCCGTGCTTAGTACGAGAGATAATACTAGTCCAGTATAACTTAGAGTATGATTAATAAAGAAATTTGAAGGAACTCTTAAGTAGAAAAGAAAAGAAAAAATAAAAATAAATATGAGGTGGCACAAAATGATCTGAGAGTCGTTTCTTCTATGAGAGGTTGTAGAGGCGATTCTAATGAAACGTGTCACATATTTATTTGTCGGAAAAAAACTCTGGTTGACAAACAAAAGTTAATTTTCTCTTTTCTTCTCGTTTCTATCGATCCGTCTTCGGTTTTCTCTTCTTCTTCTCCGACGAAGAGCACCACTTCGAGTCCAGTGACGCCGGAGCTTCACCTTCTTCTTCTCACATCGTCATCAAGGACCGTCCCTGCAAGGTCTGTTTTCGATTTCATCTTCTCTCACACTTTCTATTGTTCATCTTCTCTTCTGATTTCAATTTCATCTTCTCTTCTCGTGTACTCGAAATCATCTTCTCTCCTGCTTTTTATTGTTCATCTTCTCTTCTGATTTTGATTTCATCTTCTCTTATCATGTACACGATCTCGACATCTGATTCTAGATCTTCGTTTAGTGTATAGGTCATTGATTTGTATTGGATTTCTGGGATTTGTAGCTTGAATTTATCTCTGGATTAGTAATCAGAGGAAGACACGGTGAATATGGAGCAACTAGAGAAGTCCGTGGAGGAGAACATGTACCTTCTTTTATGAGGCTTGGCTTTGAAGATGAAGTGCTGATCAACTTTATATACGGTCTTCTTGATGGGAAGGTAGCATTATATCTGAGCTTTGCTTTTTCCTCTTCCTTAACCTTGTTGTAGATTGTTTACATGAAATGTATTGGAAGGTTTATGTAACAAGTGATTTTTTTTGTTGCCTCAAACTATTGCTGGAATAGTATCTGGTTGAAGGGTGTTCCTAATGTAGGTAGTGAATGGTAAGGAGATTCAGATTTTGATTATTATATTCATAGAGAAAAATATTGGGAAGTTCATGAAAGAGCTCTAGACACTTCTTCTAAGCGCACAGAACAATGTATTTCCCTGCAATAATTTCGATGCTAAGATCTTATGCGTGGGATGAGTGTTTGCCTGCATTCCCTGTTCAGCTCTACGAGGTATACTAGTGTTGACGTGAGTTATTTTAGTATTGTTTATGTGTTTCAGATTGTTGTATGAACATGTAAACTTCTTTTATCAGGCTTGGCTTCTGTTTTTTTATGCTGGTTTGGTTATGCGAGAGAACATTTTGAGAGCCAACGGGAGTGATATCAAGGATATATCAAGGAAGAAAGTAAGACTAAGTTATTCCATTCTAGAGTTACAGCTTTTACAGATGTTCTTCTGGTTTTTGACATTCCCCTGTTCTTTTCATGTTCTTCAGATAGCTTCTGCAATTATTAGGATTCATGTGCTTTACCTCAAACTACTGTAGGATAACAGCGGCGAACAGAAGGTTTCAATTGCAATTTACTAATATGTATATATGTATCAGGAGCTTGGCGTCACAGCCATTCACGTGAAGCTCCATGCCAAGACTCCAGGTTGTGGTGTTTAGTCTGCCCTTCGTGCCCTTACTCGTTCAGGGATGAAGATTGGTCGCATAGGTAACTTCTGTATCTTGTTGTAAATCATCACTGTAATTCTAATTAGCCTCTGGAATTTGGATTTTACATGTCAGACAAGCTGTGTTGCCATCATATATGACCGTTAACAAAACTTTGCCAATGTATTGCAGATGATGTGACTCCAATTCCAAATTTTTATTTTATTTTTAAGAACTCATCAAAAGTTCTCCATTATCAAAATTTTAAAAAATCTAATAAAACTCTTAACTTAAATTAATAATATATTTAATAATAAAATATACTTAAGAGCTTTAACATGTAGATCACCATTGTGGATGCTAAATTACGACATGCACGATAAACGAGATGGAATTGAATTCACAACAACGATAGGAAAACATCTTTTTATCACATGTTAGTCATTTTTTTTTTGGGGTCAAATATCACATGTTAGTCTTTGTTAAGATTTTCCTTCCTCAATCGCTTTTCACTTTTCTCAGCTAATAATTTTCTATAAAGCCCAAACCACCTCTTTTGTTCAATAGGAAAGAACCAGGTAGCTATCTGGTGGCATGGGATATATCGACAAAGACCATTCTTACGAATTAGAATTATTACATGTTGCAAAACTATTATATCGATAAAAACTGTTTTTTCAAAAAGTTTTTCTATTTTTTGAAAATTTATACAAAAAGGGAAGAATGCAATTTTTTATTAAAATGTAAAGTTTTATACTATTATAAAATTTTAACAAAAATTACAGAGATAATTAAGATATAAGAGAGATTAAAAACTAAAATAACAATATATATTACAGATAAATACAAAGAAGAAATCATATCTATTACTAGTAAAAGTTGATGCTAAATACCTTTAAGAGTGTCCACATAGTATTTAAAAATTTAATTATATTGGTACACATCATCATTAATTTTAGTTAATTATATATTGTATATTAAAATTAATTAATTCATTTTAATTGTTATAAGGAAAATTTCTAAATTTTAATTAATTTTATTTTTGTTGTTATTAGGAAAATTTCTAAATTTTAAGTTAGTTATTAATAAAAAAGAGTTTTGAAAATAGATCTTATTTTTTGTTAACAATAAAAAGTTAAATTAACATATAAATAGATTATGAAAGAAAAATCATATATATTGAACAAAACTATTAAAAACTGTATTTAAAAACCATAATTAAATTATTTTAAAATTTTAATCACGACAAACAATTAAAATCTGAACTGCTAACTTAAAATATATTAGTTGTGGTCCGTGTTGATGTCTTAGGCCAATGAAAGCGTCCACATAGGACATATATATTCAATCTGATTAGTCTATATCAATGTTTTTCATTAAACATAAAAATAAAAAAATATTATTAATAATCTAAATAAATTAAAAAATATAAAAATATAAAATTATCACAATAGAATGGAAAATAAAGATAATTTTTTTAACTAAATAAAATAAATTTATGTCAAAAGTCTAAATCTGTTGTGAAAGTAAAATGGAAACTCATTGTCACAAAAACTAAACTAACAAAAACAAATATGTAAATCAATAACGAAAAAGGTAAATTAATTTTTTTTTTAGTATATATATTTAAATGAGTAATTTATTTAGAAAAAATATTAAGATTAAATTTTCATATAATCATATAAAATTGAAACTATGAGGGATTGTTTGGACATAAAATGGCAAATATTGGGAAGGTGATTTTTGTGGGTTAGATTTGCAATTCAAATCAAATTTTAGGTCATTTTTGCAAGTATCCCAAAAACTAAAACAAAAATTAAGTTTTACAAAATATTATTTAAAAAAAAACACTTAAAAATATATTGACTTGATAACTAACTAACTATTTAAAAAATTCATATAAAAATATTTAACTAACAAAAAATTAATGTCTTCAAAATATCAATATTTTAAAAACAATGGTGTGTTAAAATAAAATAAAAATCAATAACAAGAGAGGTAAATTATCAAATGAAAAAATCGTAAAAAGTAAAATTAGCTTGATATTTAGACTAACTACCAAACAAATATTAACTAAAAAAAAGCAAACGATGGTATAAGCTTTTGAAAGAAGTTTACTTAAACTTTAGAATAACCAGTTATAGCATGTCAAAATAGCATTTTAATTAATTTAAAAAGTAAATTTAACAAAGAAAAAGTATTTATGTAAAAGATATTAGATTAATATATATACTACCTATTTGAAAAATCAATAACAAAAAAGATTAATTAAAAAATATATATGTTTTAAGTATATCAAACCTGCAGAAAATTAGATAATTTTTAATAATTTTAAAGATAAAAAAATAAACTAAAATATTAATACAGACTTGCGCATAAAGCTAGTTATATACCTAGTATCTAACAAAAACAAACACAAAAACGAAAACTCTTCAACCCAGTTAATCTCTATCGGCAGCATATGAGCCTCATTGAGCAGCCAGAGAAACTGCCTTTAGCCGTCATTCCCGAGCTAGGGAAAGCTGTGGGAATCATCTCCCACGAAAAATAGTTAGTCGCCAAGCCAAACCTGTCTCCTCTATTCGAATATGAGTCACCAATGAAGCTAACAACGAGACCATCATCCACTGAAAATTAAAGCCCTTCAAGAATAGTCAAATCCAAACCTGAAAAGAAATACACAGTAGAGGGAGGTAAGGAGCCACACAAGGGGACAAAATAGAACAGAGAAACCACAAACAGACGCGCCTAACCATTACATAAGACCGGAGCTCTAAACATTTAAACTGACAATTACGCCTTACCATCGACAGGGCAGTCCAAACCAAGCCTAACCATTACATAAGACCTCTGCCCAACCCACAAACAGACGCACTAAAAACAGTTTACACAAAGCCACCCTACCCTAGAGAAAACGACGGAAGCAAAACAAATGAGACAAATGGGAGAGGCGCCGGAAGGTAAATCGAAGGGATACCAACTGCAGCCCAGAACCACCACTTCCAAGAAACAAGCAGAGAAGAGTCACCGCTGCAGCTGAGAGAGGAACAACGAGGGAAGAGGCGAGTAAAGTGGTTGACAGAGAAAGAATTTTTTTTTAAAAAAAAAAACATCGCCGCTTAGAGACTTTAGAATACCCAAACTTGAAATTTCATAAAGAGATATCGATAAAGACTGTTAGTGTAAGCTTTTAGGTATCCGCATTCATTGGTTTCTGTTTAAAAATGTTAGAAGAATTGTACTATTTTTAAAAAAGAACTGTACTAGGAAAACGTTAGGCGTCAAGAAGATTAATCACTTACGAATCTTAAGCTATATAGATAATACCTGATGAATAAACTATATCTCAAAAGGTCATTATTAGAATATAGCAACATGTAATGGGAAGGTAAAAGTATTGCAAACGATCGAACAACAAAGCTTTAATATATACTAAGAAAACTCAAATTGTAATGATATATCTAGACATGTCATGTGATGATGTAACATAGACTCGAATTCGAATCCAGTAACCACTGCAATAAACATTGCGGATCGCATTCGTCACAGAATTATAAAATCTATTAAAACTCAAATTTTATAATTAATTTTTAAAAGAAAAAACTTCTTCATTATATGGAAAATGAAAAAAAAATACATGAAAATATATAGTAATAACAATTATGTGAAGATTATTGGGCTATGTGCCTTGATTTGTAAGAAGCGCGTGAGAATGTTGGGAGGACCCTGAGTATATAAAGATTTTAGATGAATTTATGTATTGCCAATTCTTTTTGGTTCGAAAGGCCAAAAAATTTAATATTGTATCAGAGTCGATTCACATATATACTCTAATAATCCGGCGCTAAAGTTGCTGGAACTCATTTTTGTCAAAATAGTGTTGACTATTTTTTCGGTGGGTTTTCCGGCAGAAAACGTCTACAAAATGACCAAATATTGGGCATAATGTAATCGATATTGTGAGCACTACTAGTTAATATATTCACTTGTCAAAATTGGAGTTGTTTCGAATGAGAAATAAAAGTCCATAGTGGATTGCTTGAAAAGCTTAAAATGTTATTAACATTTGTGAGATATCTCATTTGCAAGTTAGAGGTTAATTAATCCGTCTTGTATACAATATGAAGAAACTTTGAAGGTTTAAAACCTTTAAGATACACTTGGTGTATTATGGAGATACTCGAATCAGGCTTAGGCTTTGGACTTCAGGATTTGGCTCATGGCCAGTAGATCAAAAGATTATTCTTTTGGATAAATTCTTGTTGAATTTTGTTGTTAACAAAGTCAACAAAAATATCTCCTCCAGTTGATGTTGTTAACTTGAGTTAAGAGGTAATTAAGTGCAAATTAAATTTTGATTTTGTAACTTAAATTATCTTAACTCACCCAGTAGTCATCATGAAAATTAAGTATTTAAAGTCTCTTTATTGCTTTATATGTTGTCATACATTCAAAGTGTGTTGGGCTTGGCTATAAAATCAAACACATTCTTCTCGTTTTATTATACACATGATTAACAACATAATCTCTTTCCTTTTTTTGTGCGTGTGTGTGAGAGTACACATATAATCTAAGTCTTTCAGCTTTTATTCTCGAGTGATGTAAGATAATCGAAAAAGCAGTTTTATCATGAAATTCTTAGATGTATTTAAATCGAAAAACAACGAGAATTAAAAAAATTAAGGAGATACATCATATCTGAACTCTACTTCAATTTGTTTTTATTCTAATTATGGTATTTTAGCATAATATTTTGATTCATATTAATTGTTATTTTGCTTCACATCCAATTGTATCAAATTTGGTGCATACATTATTAGGGGGAGATATTCAATTAAAGAATCCTATGAACCTATATGGAATTAATTTTTTTATGGAAACCTATTGTCCCTCAAAGTTGTATTTCATACATTCTTTAAAATTCATATTTTATTGGATTAAATATTTGAAGTCATTCTTTTAAATATATTATTTTAATTCTATTAAACTAGGATTTAGTCCGCTTTATGCGCAGAGAGTTATGTTTTTTACAATTATTTTGAAACTTTTTTTAGATTTATTTTATGTTTGTTTGTATGTTGTAAGTTATGTTATGTTTGATGTATGGTTTATATTTTTTTTATGTAAAATTCAATTATATATTGGTATTATTAAAATCTAATAGTGTTGTAGATAATTTTGGTTGCAAAAACATAACTAAATAGTGTACGAGATTAACATAAAAAATATACTTTATCTAAAAATTGGATATAAATATCAATGAACTGAATTTCCTTCAAATGTGTACAATTTGGTTTCATTTACCATTTATAGATGTTTATACCTTGAATGCATCTATTATAATAATAGAAACTAGATTTTGGACCCGCGCACATGCACAAGTTTCTTTTTATAAAATATTTTTCGATGTGCACGAGTTTCTTTTTATAAAATATTTTTCGATCATAGCAAAAATTGGTTTATAGTAAATTTTTGTTCAAAAAAAATTAGCTTCTATTATTAAATCTAAAATTATGGTCCAAAAGGAATTTTTTAATTAGATTATATAAACTATTTTAACATTATGGTTTTATGTTCTTAAAATTATTCAGAGTTGATTTTATAAAAAAAAAAAATTTGATTAGCAGATTTTTTGTTAAGTTTTGTAACAAATATTTTAAAATATTATGTTTTATAATGCAAGAGAGATTTTATTTGTTTGTAATTAAGATTTTTAGGCTATGTTTGTTTTTACCTTCAGATACTTATTTGGATGCAAATGCTCTCAAATATTGTTTTTTAAA